TTTACAGAAATTGCAGAAAATGGTGTAATTAACACCTTGAACACGGTGCTAACGCATTCCTTTTGAAAGTGCATAAAATGTAGTTTTTTTTTTCTTTGCAAACGCCTTTCTTGCCAAACCCTCTGTTGCTCTAACCCTCTCACTTCTTCCATGTTGTCTTCCCTCTTCCATCGCCTCTTCTTGCCAGTCTCCTATCAATCCTACTCTGGCATCCTCTGCTTTCGCCTCCTTTCCTCCCCATCCCCCGCAGTGACAACCTCCGTTAGCTGATGTAGAGGCCGAGTTAAACCTTAAAATTTGGCCTAAAGGTGTTTTTTTTTACCCAATATCTGCACTTAAAAAAGGACAAAGTAATCAGAAAACATACATGAGAAATGCCCCTTTGTTATTCAAATCTTGTGTTGAATGATATACCTGACATTCCTCTGCACACAGCTGGTAGTTGCTATAGAAACATGTCACCTAGCAGCAGCACATGTACAGTAGTTGCTATAGGGACAATGCATCACATGATGTCGCCTATAGATAGGTAACGTGTCGTTATCATGCTACAAAAGGCATCTCCTCTCTGAAAGATGCAACACATTCAGAGGAAATCACAGAGGAGGTGTTACAGTGCAGAGAGGGGGGAATCTCTGCTGCAAAGATGTGATGTTTTTGAAAAAAGGAAATTCATTTTTCAGAGCTGCTCTGAATGTTCAAATTCTTCAGCAACAGAATAAATGTAATCCCTGTGGGGGATAGTTACATTTAATTGTTTTAAAAGCTTTCCTGCTGCAATGTTTAACAGCGAAAGCAGTTTAGTCATTACAACATTAAGGTGATCACATGGAGGCTAATTCATAAATCATTAAACACTCATTTAGAAGACTGCTCATTAAAGCAGCAACAGGGAAAATGGAGCAGAGGATGTCGCATTATTTATAAGTTTTATCTGATTTGAGGAGGAAAGGGAATCGTTAATATTTCAACAATCTGTACATGATCACAGTGATGTTTTCACAGATTAAAAGACAATGCACAAATTTGATTCGTAATGATCTCTGTTTGAACATGTTCAGCATGCAAGAGCAGAGATTTGCTGCAAGTGCTGCACAAGACATTACAAAAGATTGGTTGAATATAAATCAAATAAAAAAAACTTTTTATATTGTTTTTTTTGGCATTATTTTGGATTAAGTATGAAGGTTACAAACATGGGTAATTTTAATCATGCAGAACTGCAGCCAGACACAAGCACTGTAACTCGATAGCTAATGTGCACATGCACTTCAATGTTTTCTTGTTTGTTCGTTTTTGCACAACTTATTGTCATCTCAGTTTTTGAACATCGTTTCTCAGGTCACAAGTTCTCCTTATATCATATAGGCCTGGCTCACACCCAGTTCAGACCCACTGATTGGATGTGGAGCAGGGTTACAGAATAGTAACGTTTTCTTTCATGTGGTCCCTGCACAGGTTCGACACATGGTCTCCTAAGTAGAAAGCCTTGTCATTTCAGAGCCTGAGTGCTATCTCATTAGGGGCTGCTGGTGCGTCTGTTAATGCAGGTGTTTGTAGTCTTTCTCCCATTGTTAAAAGTGCAGATGCACTTGGCTTGTTTATGCCTTCTATCCCGTCTTGTTTGACAGAAATAGCGCTGTAAACGTATTTATTGTGGGGTCTTTTTCATCTTATTTCCATCTACCACTTAGTTTTTACGGCTGTTTTTAACTCTGTAGACTTTTAAATATCTGCTGATGACTGAGTGTTGCACCCAGGTAGGTGCAATAATGTAAATTCTGTCATCCTTTCCTCTCATTTTATTCTCCTCCCCGCCTCTATCCTCCATCCATCCCTCTCAGTAAACGGAGGAACTCTCTCCCCCCTGCTCTCGAACATTGTGTGGGTTCCTGTTTGACGCACACAGAGCAGCGAGAGACAGATCGAGAGGGAACACTGAGAAAGCCCGAGAAAAAGTGTCTGCTTGTGTTTGTCCCTGTGTGATTCACCATCTGTGGTCGAGCACTTTTCTGCAGCGGTATTACCGAAAAAAGATGATTGACATGAAAAACACATTAAGACGTGAGAGGGAGAAAAGAGGGTGGGAGGAGAGGGCGTCTGGCTGTGTGTGTGATTCAGACTTACTTTGATTACTAAAAGCTTTGTCTCACTCTGAATCTTAAAGTAGGCTTTATTGCTTTGAGATATGTGGAAGAAAATAGAAGAAGGAAGCAAGTGAGAGAGGAGAGTGACCAAGTAAAAGAAAATTAAAATTAGAGACAGATTAAAAATAGATCTGGGAGGATGGAGGGAAGGCGGAGGAAGAAGACAAACAGAGAGAGATAAGATGACAAAGAAAGCTGGAGAAGAAGGAAGTGAAGGCAAGATAAAATTATTCAGGGTCACAACCAGAATGTATTAGCCCACAGACTGAGGGTGAGAAAGGAGAGAGAGAGAGAGAGAGTGAGAGAGAGCGAGAGAGTGAGTGAGAGGTGGGAGCAAGGAGGGAGAGAGAAATGTAAAAACAGAAAGAGGAAGGTCATGGGTGTGTTCTCGTTCCCATGCTAAATCTGTTTTATCCAGTTACGTTCGCTGTTTACCAAATAAATATTCTGTAATTTATAATGCTGTGTTGAGAATATGCTGCCAGAGTGATATCCAAACATACAACCGCTTTATTTTGTTTGCCAAGAGAAGAGAAGGCGAAGACAAATAATGAAACTGATTCCTTAATGGAAGCAATGCAAATGAGCATTCATCAAAATTCTCCTAATGAATATGTTTTATCTAGCGCCATGTCAGTGCATAGCTTGTTTGAAGAAAAAAAACACATCACACTTAAGCCCCCTGTTACCTATTTTCAGGGGTCGACATCAATCTGCACATCCTTGTAGTTTCTATTTCCCTTCAACACTTACGATAAGTGATTCACTTACAAAGTTAGGGGAGGGGGGCAATAAGCAGCTACAAATATTAAAATACGTATATCAGGTACACCTGCAGCAGGCATTAATACGCTACAGATACACAAAGGAAAATGTCCGAAATATAGACACAGAGAATCCACAGCTCAAATGAAAAACAAAGGAACTTCAACACTGAGCCATGAGCGGCTGAAACAGTTCAGAGACAACACAGATAAGGTCATTAAGTCAAATAACGTGCTGCAGAACTGAATAATCAAGCTCAACTAGTTTAGTTGCAAACAAATTGACATCCAGTAATCTGAGGGTAGCATGCTATCTTAAGCTAAAGCTTCATCTGACTGGCCAAATGTTGTGAATATAAGGCCCATTCTTAATGGCTCAATCTGAAAGATCGAAGGTTTCTATGATGAGGTGTTTGCAATTCACCTACAGTGTTTTTCTCCTGTTACTGCTTCTCAGACACTTTCTATCAACGTGTTTATCGAGCCACCAGACGATGAAAATAAGATGAATTGTACAGTCCTGATTGGTGATGCATCACCATAATGTTTCAACAGAAAATGACACATCACAATAACTGCATTGATTTAGCTTCTCACTGAAACTATTATCTATTATCACTATTACATTGCAATCTCATTCTTTTACGAAAATTCATGCAGCTGTGAAACTAGTGTCTCAGCAGGCAATTATTTGGGAGAAAACTTCCCGCTTGAGTCTTAACATCGTTCGATTTGATAAGACCGAGTTGTGATTTTCTTCATTCGTCTACTTAAAATTGCAACTTTCTATGTTCATTCAAGATAACAAGACATTGCTTGTAGTGTGTCTAGTGACAGCAGCGGGTCAAATGTTATAGGGAGCAAGAAGTTTTACAGTTTCAACACACTGTTGCTCCATTGGCTGTTCGTTTGTGTTCTACTGTCTTTCCCCTGACCATAGGAGAACTTCACTTTGACGGTAATAACTCCGCAGAGGGATACTTTAAATTCCATTCAAACAATGTACCTTGGGTATTCAGCATCAAACACAGTCATTTTAATCCTCTTAGTGCTCAACAGGACAATGCTAATGTTCATGTGAGCCCAGATTAACAGGCATTTAAACATAAATGAGGCTCCTGAAATAAGCCTGTGTTTATTTAAGCCCTCTTCATCTTAATAACTATTTATAGACATCTAAGCAGCTGGTGAGCAGAGACTATGATTCATTTTAATATTATGTCAGAATAGCAGCACTATATTTCCACATTAATATCAATGATGTACACAACAACCAAAACTGCATAAATTACAACAGACATGCAATCAACTCTATAAAAGACTGAAAATAAGCCCAAGCCATGCGTGTTTGTCTCTGTGTCTGTTTGCTTCTATTCCTACATTTCTCATCATCCCTATTTCCTGAGTTTCTCTCCCCTGCACACAGGAAGAACTCAGTAAACAAACACTCTGCTGGGCTGAATGTATGACTATGTGCAGTGTGCACACACATCCACACACGCCTTGTGGCCCTGAAGGGCTGACAGGTAACAACAAAACATCACCAGTAAACAGAGGAGATGTTGTACAGTGTGTACATTTTTTGTTGTTGTTGTGCTCAGATCCTCATCAATGCTGTATTGTAAACAGCCCTTTCTCAAACAAGCAGTAGAAACATCCAGAAGTCTGACACACTTTCCCTGTACAAAAAAGAGCGAGGTGGCACGTCTGTGTAAATTGAGACAAACAGAGCTGTGATCTCTGGAACTGCTTCAATCTGCTCATTTGTGAGTGATGTAGAATATTATCTGACTTACACCGCCTGTATTCAGAGCTCCTGAGAGACTTTGTTTAAACTTAAGTGAAGATGTGCCTCCCTATTCTGATTTAAAAAATGTGCAAATCAGCCTCGACTGAATGGATGTCTGCAGCTGTTTGAGAGTTCTTTCTTGTTGAATTTGTGCACAAAAGACCAAACAAAATGGCAAGAAACTGCTCTGAAGCTCTTGTAGTTTAGTGACTTGGCAGTACACACAGAACGGCAACAGATGCTGAACACAAAATGAATGTTAAATGCATTACTTGATTATTTCTGCATATGTATCTGCAGGTAAAGAATGACTGCAGCAGCAGGCGTGCTAACAGGCTTGGCTAAGCTTAAACGCCAGGACTCAGCCCGCTCCCAGCACCGGCCCATACCATCATCGCCAGGGCTGGGGAACCCTGCAACAGAGTCTGCCCCAAGGTGATTTATTTTTGCAAATATTAATTATCTAGAAATAAAATCCAAAATCAGCTTCACCTACAACTGTTACCTACTTTGGGCAACAGGAAGCTGGTTGAAGTCTCAAACTGATTACAAGCAACACTAGCTTAAATTTCACCAGTGTTTCCCGGGTGTTAAGGTTTATGAGAATTCTTAAGTTGTATGCCATTGTACGCCAAAAAATGTTCATTTACCATGTGTTGATATTGCTTTCCTTCAATACTGTGCTCATTTTTTAGGAAGCGGAAACGACGCACTGATGTTGTTGTGGTACGCGGTAGGCTCCGTCTCTACTCTGCCTCTGGGTTTTTCCTTCTCCTGGGACTGGTCATCTTGGCGGTGGGGATCGGGATGGCCACACTCGGTTACTGGCCGCACAGTCAAACCATTCCGAAATCCCCAACTGGAGGAGGATCTAAGACAGCAACTGCTGGAGGAGCGGGAGGAACACCTGAAGGAAATGGAGCCAATATGGCCGTGATGGACGGAGATGTAGCTAACTCCAATGCCAGTCATGTGCAGGGTAAGAGAAGTGAGAGCAGTGTGAAATGGGGTCATCTTATTCAATTTATCTCAAAGGTGACAATCCTACATTGAAATAAAAAAAACTTTCCAGATTGAGTTGAGATGGAATTCCTTTTCTTTCTGCTTCCATATTCATAGTCTCAAAGTGTAAAGTGAACTTTAAACCGCTCACACATTCTATTACTTTTGCATGTAGATACGCCTTCCAAGCAGACAGGGGGGGCTCTGATGCGGTTTCTGGAACAGCATCGTCACTCTGAGAGGATGAAGATGTTCGGGCCTTTCACCATGGGCATTGGGATTTTCATCTTCATCTGTGCCAACGCCATTCTCCATGAAAACAGAGACAGAGAAACTAAGGTAGGGCTCAAGTCCAATAAATGAATGCTTGAGTTTCCAATCATTTTTGAGTCTTCTTACCAAAAAGATAACACTTAACAGAATTAGTATTGCCTGCAGGGTTTAAGAATCTTGTGTTTGAAGAACACAGAGTTCAAAAAGTTATGAAAAAAATTTAAATTATACAGAAACAAACCTTGAGTCAATACAGTAAGTAGTTTATATTCTCCACCCTGTATTCTCATTCTGTTCCTCCTCCAATCCCTACGAAATGAGAGGCATGCACACAGCAGACAGTCATCTTTATTCATCGTCCCTGCATAACTAACATGCAAATCATATTTCTGCCAACCTCCAGCCCCGTCTTATCTCTGCAATTTTCCCCTGATCACATTTCCTCTGTTCTCATGCCCTCTTCTTTGATTCGATTACACCTCTCCTCCTCCTCCTCCCTTCTCCACTTTCAGGTAATCCATGTATTCCAAGGTCAAATCCATCCAGAAAACACACATACAGATACCCAACTAAGGATGGTTATTTAAGGGGAAAATATACAGTTTGTTTTTGCTTTGCGTTGGGTCCTACATGACCCTGTTTGGGTTCCATTCCACAATAAAACTAACTGTTAACTATACAGCTTAATATAAAGCAAGTTTCAAAAGAAATACTCTTTGAAAATGATCTTCAAACTACACAAAATGGTATACCATGTAATGGCTTTATGGACGTTTCTTATGCCAAAGAAATAGTCCCCTAGGGTTGGAAATATCAAGGTATATCATCATTTGATACGATGCGTAGCCCACAATAACAATAATATCACAATATAGAAATTCTTCGATAACTAATATTTGCAAGACAAAAATATAATGATGCATCGTGATATCGGGTTAATTGACAAATAAAAAATGCCCACTAAAAGGTAAATTGCTGGATAAATATATATATTTACAGCAACTTGGTGTTAGTTTAACCTCTTATCACGCTTTAACTTCTTTTCACTGCTGTCTGACATTATCCTGCTTCTTCTTCGTCTTCTCTTACTCTGCTGTCAGCTTCTTTAGACATTACCCTCAGTCATGTCGTAAACACCACCGTACAGTCATACGATTAGTCAAATTGGTCATGGTGTCATACTTTTCTTAATGAAAATATTGACACTTGAAACCTAGAATTTTAATAATTGCATTATATGATGAGTCAGAATGAAAATATACTGCCATATTGATATTTTGCCCCAACCCTAAACTCACTCAGTTAGAACGTCTTCCATGGCAAGGGTTAACTTAAAAATAGTCCATTTTGCTGTTAGACCTTAAGGCAAATATTTCCATTGTTGATCAAGTGAGCTAAATGGGGCCGCACAAATTAGCGTGATAACTGATTTAGGTTTTCATCCCTATGACTGTAAAGTCATCTGTGGTCTTTTTCTTTTCTATTAACAAATCCTGAAAAATGTAAACAGTCCAAACTGTGCTCTGTCTTATTTCATTTATGTCATCTGCAAAGTTGTTGACTCATAAGTTGCAGTTAAAGCTCAAGACTTTTTCTTCAAACAAATATGATTAAATGTGGTTCTGATGAGGCTGGGTAAGAACTGAGTCCCTAAAAACAATCTGTTTTTTAAAAAAGAGGTCTGATATAAAATAATAGACCTTTAATAACCAAACAGAGTGGAGTATTCAACACCACAGCCATGTAATTAAATGTATTATTGAACACATACTCGGGTAATCCAAAGGTAAACACTTTTGCTTCTACTAATACTATTCTCTTTGGCTTTAGATAATCCATATGAGAGACATGTACTCCACCGTCATTGACATCCATCGCCTCAGGCAGAAGGAGCAAAAACAACACTATCACCGCAACAGCATCTACTCGAGAGACGTCGGGGATCTTCGAGGATTTGGAGGTGATAGCGCAGCACGGTTAGCCAGCAACTCCCTCCTTGCTTTCTCCTCTCGGGCCGGAAGCATCGCCGGAGGGGTTGGGGGCTCAACCGAGGAGGAGGAGGTGCTGTTAGGGGATGAGGAGCTTCACAGAAACAGGTCCCAGGTGAAGTTGGATTGTAGTTTTGCTGGGTTACTAGCACCGCTCTACAAAGATCGCCCCTTTTACAATCACGGACTTGGGTTGGTTCACTCGGATTCTGTGCGTCACCAGTGGTCAGTGGACGGAGATGGTGAGAGAGGAGGACACCATGCTCGCTCTATTGTCTCCTCCTCAATTTCTGCATTTACTCTCCCTGTCATCAAACTCAACAACTGTGTTATTGACGAGCCGGAGATGGAGGCGATTACTGAGGAGGAAAGAGGAGGTGAGAGGAGAGACAGGGAAAGGTCACAGCCTCTGAGCTCGATGGAGTCTCTGGTGGTTCCTGTAGCATCTGTTGCCAAGGCATCCAAACCTCCAGGCCTCCACCGGAGTAATTCCGCCTCCTCATCCTCCCATTGCTCGTCCTCTTCCTCCCTCTCCCCTGCTCCCTCAGGCTGCTGGCTCTCCCCTGGAGCAGCGAGGACTGACTTTGGCTCCAACTCTTCACTGCACATGCTCAGCAGCCACTCCAAATCTCTGGACCTGGAGCGTAGGCCGAGCATGCTCAGTGTGAACCCGGAGCAACGGAAGCACCCCAGCTGGCCCCGCCTCGACCGCAGCAACAGCAGTCGCAGTAACAGCAGTAAAGGCTACACACGGCTGGAGGACAGGGAGGAGCAAGTGGGGGAGCGGCTGTTGGAGTTGGATGTGACTGCAAGGCGCGACTACAGCAAGCGGGAGAAGCTACTGATGATATCAAGGTCGCATAATAATCTGAGCTTTGAGCACGACGAGTTTAACAGCAGCACGCTGAAGAGGGGAAGCTCAGAGACTCGATTCTGAAGTCATGGACCAATGGTTGTATGGCGGTTTCCTCTTTTTCTTGAAATTCATGACTTAAACAGCTCCACTCTTTTACCAGAAACACTCAAGTGTTGCTTCAAAGTTTTTTTTTTCCTGAACTGAAGGAAGGACAGTAGTGAGTGTCGGACTATCTATGCTGAGACACTAAATGGCTACAGCAGCAGGTCCAGAGAAAAGTCGTTTTTAGCTGACCCTGACCTCTGTTGAGGGAGGCAAGTGGAAAGACAAGTTTCCTACATCAATAAACAAATCACATTAAATCACCCGTCTGCTTTATACAAACGTAGTTCTAATAAAGATTTAACATGATCTCAAGCCTTGACAGTCAGTATTGGCTGATGCTGTTTCCTTATAACAGGTTTTGAAATTTGCTTTTGGTGAAGTGTTTCAAGGTTTTTACTTGAAAAGCTGCTGGTGAAATCAAGGACACACCGTCATTGCTTTGAGCAAGTTCCTTTCTGAGTGGGAAACAGAGACACAAAGGTGAATCTTTTAAAACAAGGTAGAGGGTAAAAAAACTGAGGGAACGAGCACGGTCGGTTTAATATCAGAGGAGAAGAAGCTCAAAAATAGTCATATTAACGATCTTTGCTTGCGATCTTTGCTTTGCACCAGAGATTAAAATAAAGTGTGTAATGAGGCTTTATAGAGACTGAAGCTGATAATTATCTTTTTTCTCTTCCACTAAACGACTGATCTTGACACAAAAACAAATACAGTATTTTCTTAAATAGTGACCAGGACGTTTTAGAACTCTTCAGTTCTCTGCAGAAAGTACCATGCCTTTATTTTCACTCAGGCTTGAATTCGAGTCAGGCCTTCTATTCTAATTTGCAATATACATCTTTATCAATCAATCAATCTTGATATGTAGAGTGCCAATTCATAACAAATGTTATTTTGTGACACTTTAAAAAGCAGGTAAAAGACCTTACTCTCTTTTTATTTTACAAAGACCAAACGTTAAGCCGTCATGAGCACAGCACTTTTAGCAACATTTAGCAAAGTTACAGCGGCAAGAAAAAACGTTGTCTTCAGAAGCAGACATCTTGTGCACAACCAGGTTCATGATGAACAGCCATCTGGCGAAACTGCTGCGGGCTTGAAAATGGGATGAGGGGTGATGGGATAATGCAGGTGATCAACATAGTAAGTCATCTTTGCAAGACCTCATTTTGACTTGTTCCCATGTGCCCTGTCACAGCTACAGGCTACAGCATTACCCTTTTATAGAAATGTAATACTTTTTAAATTAGTTTCAAATTAAAAGCGCTTTAGTATTTAATCTCTCATCTCTCAAGTAATTCAGTTTTAAAAATAAATTGCAGTGCATGGATCCTATTTAAAATGTAGCTACTGTTATCTAGTATCTGTATAATATTAAAAATGATGGTTTGGCTCAGACCTAACATAGAGAAACCTGCAGTGACTAAAACAAGACATTACACTTTCCAAGAGTAAACACAGTCCAAAAGCTCTAAAAAAAGATATGAGACGTAGTGTTTGCTTTAAGGTTGGGTTTTGTTTGTTGTTGTCTGAGTGTCTGATCTTCAGATTGTAACAGATGTAGAGATCCACACAAAGAGCAAAGTCAAACAAATCGAGTTAAAATGAAGACGCCAGACTACAAAATACAATAACAGAGTCAATGTTGCCTCGCAGTCATAATATTGCTGCCCTTTACCAAATGCTTGAGTAAAACAAGTTTTACTATGCTCGTGAAAAAAAGAAGTAACAATGTCTGTTCATGGCTCTGCTTGAGGGGTTTAAAGTTCATATTCTGGTAGAAAAGACTGGACACTGTTATCTCAGGATATGCCCTCCATTATTCATCTATGTTGATAGTTTTGAATACATATAAACAAACTACATTATAAGACAAATCCCCCATATTTGAATATTTATGGACTTGAAGAAGACCAGAAGTATGATAAACTGAGGCTTAAACAAATGATTATACACTCCATCCATGATGCTTATTTAAACACTTAACTGCCAATTAAATGCTTCAAGTAATGAAGGAACATCTTTACCAGGGAACGAAGTATACCGGTCTTAAACTGCCAAACATGTCTCAGTCATGAAAAAAAAAAAAAGATTTACATTTTAAAGCCGATACTCAAACTTGAAGCACTTCTTCTTGATGAGTGATTGATAAATGGTTGGTATCACACAAGGAGGACATTATATAACCATACATCCAGGACGCTGGGACTTTTAAATCCAACTTAAATCTTTGCTTGGCTGCATTCACATCTTCTATTCATTAACAACATCTGACATTACCTCTTCTGCTTAGGTCTTCTTATCTGTCCTACAAACATGGACACACGTGTTCATGCAGCACCTTATCTTGTTCAAAGAGTGACTAAAACATTCTGCGGGGGGGGGGGAAAGTGCTCCGCTAATGTCAGTTTGCAGGCCACAGAGCTAATTAGCTGCTCAGCTGCAGCTCATTAAACAGCATGTAAACAGACCTGCTAATGTCATTTTGGTACAGTTACATGCTGGTGATGTTCTTGATCTGCAAAATCACAAACCTAGTACTTCTCCGAGGCCTTTTATCTACAGAAACACTATTAAAAAAACATGTTCAACTTTTTATCTACAATAAGGGGCAATTAAGTGATTTCAGTAGGACTTTAAAATAAAAGTGATGCTGCTTAATTTTACAGTAAACGTTTAAAGATACCTCTAACATTTCTTTGTTTACTTGAATTAAGAATTTCAGCAGAATAGCAAAATACTAATACAGTCTCACAATTATTTATTATTAACATATTGACAGGGTGTGAAGACATACACTACATGAGCAAATATGACTCCCTCATTATGCTTAAAATCTCTGTATCCGGTTTGGTTTGGCTGCTTGCTACCTTAACGGACCTAAAATAATTTTAATAAATCAATCATAACACATTCTGTGCTACTTTTAAGGCAACACACATGAACGATAAATCATCAGCACCACATGTGTTGAGACAGACAGTGGGTGCAGGAATTTTGCCAGCGCGTTTCATTAACTGGTTCCCAGCAGTTTTATGAGTCAATGTCCAATTTTATCCTTTTCCTTAAATAAACAAACATTTCTCTGAAACATACTTTGTCCTAATGGGTGTGTTTAACCAACGCTGATTCCTACACAGGGTTTCACACAGAGCAGCTCCTCTAGTGCCTTATTAAGGGGTCAGTGGGAGGTAGCAGAGTCTCCTGGGTATACACAAACACACACACACAGACATTTAGCAACACAAACTGACCCCACTTCTAAACACAACTTCCCAAATACATTGCTTATCCCTCTCTCTTTCTCTTTCTTCTTCCCTCTCTCTCCATCTCCTGCATATAAAATAAGCAAAAGGTCTGAGTGAGTCATAGTCAATTACCATATGCTCTGCAGCTTGGTGGGAATAACACACACACACACACAAACAGAAACAAACATGCACTCTCACACTCCCAAGGACCAATCATTTACTTGCATGAGAGCATATTCCTCCTCCAATTTCAAATGCAGACACACACAAACATTAATACATTTCAAAGTAGATGGCTGAGGATGTTGTCTCATCCACTGTGAGACCGAGGGCACAAATTACAATCCTGACCCTTTCTGAGGGCAAGAAACATATTTAGACAGCGGAGAGGAATGATGTCGCATCCTGTTAACATAAAAACAAAATAAAAGTATACACAGTCCTGGGGAGACTTTCCTATTTCGTCCTAGTTCAGGAATAAAATTTTTAGATGATTATGAAGGCTGCAAGCTGCATTCAGCAGTAAACTATTGTTTGATTTGCGAGGATAAAACCTTTCTGTGCCTTTTATAAAGTCCATCAGTCTCGCATAGATAAACTAAACTAAGCAGCTACAATGCTACAGACCTTCTAGTTTTGATTAAAGACAAGCATTGTTTCCCTGAAAATTGGGAAACAGAACTTTCTGTAACTACGTTTTGGTTGCTAAGCAAATCTCTCAGTGACAGATGGCTGGGTAATTTAAGCAACTGAAACCATTTCTCCAAATGTTTTTTTTACTGTGAGCACGGAAATAAAACCAGATCATGGAAATGTAAGCGTCTCTTCTAGGAAATCCTTGGAAATAAGATATGTATCCAAATCTTAGTTTCCTTGTCCAGAGGGAAACCATACACAAGCAGGAACACAAACACGCTCCATCACTGTGTGTCATCTGGGTATCACTCCCAGCCAATGTGTTATAAAGAGACAGCTCGCTCCTTCTCACCTCAAAGGATGTGTCACACACTGCAGTTAGCTGGGAGACTGTGAGTCTGTTTGGAAGACACACACAGTCTGCAGTTTTCTGTGAGTTAACAAGATATGCATGAGGCTACATCTCGAAATGCTCTATTGATAGACTGTAACATCTTTTCATTAAAAGTAAATTAAAGTAAATAAGTTAGTTGGCAAATAAGGGGTGACGATACATATATTTCGGATTGGAAACATTATAAAAACAAAGACATCAAAGTCTTTTCTGCTTGTCCAAAGCCTTAAAGCGTAGTTTTTTTTTTTTTAAATGCAGACTTGTGTTATACTTTGAAAGACCAACATAGCGACCACCTCACAGGGGGGAATTTCAAATGAACAACAGCCTTTTGGATCAAGCTTTAAATTACCATGAAATGGATGAGTGAGAAGATATACAGACAGCATCTATATGGTTTGACATTTCACACTGTATTATCTTGATGCCTAATGAAGTTATGAAGTAATTTGCAGCATTTGTTTTTTATTGTTAACCCTCTACATCTAGCGCTCGTGTTAAAGGCCTTACTATTGACCTTGGCAGAGGTCACTGAGGTTGTTAAAAAGCTCCTCAGTGTGGATAAGATTCGCCCCGACATGCTTAAGGCTCTGGACAAAGTGGGGCTTTCTTGGATGCCTCTTCAAGGTCTTGGACAGTGCCTGTTAAGTGGCAGACTGGGGTGGTTCCCATTTTTTTTTTAAAAAGGGGGGACTGGAGGATGTGCTCCAACTGTTGGGGTATTATACGTCTCAGCCTCCTGGGGAAAGTTTACGTTAGTGTGCTGGACCAATTGTTGAACCTTGGATACAGAAGGAACAATGCAGATTAAGTCCTGCCCGTGGGACAGTGGACCAGCTCTTCAACCTCACAGGGCTTCTTGGTGGTGGTGGTGGTGGTGGTGGGGGGGCATGGGAGTTTTTGTCCATCAGGGAGTCATGTGGGAATATGGGGTTTCTAGGAGCCATCCGGTCCCTGTATGACCAAAGTGAGAGCTGTGTCGCATCCTCGGCACAAAGTCAGACACGTTCCCCGTGTGTGGT